GCTTGAACTCTGGGGCCTGGCACTGTTCTGAGCTTTTGTGCTCATGCTCAAGGTTAGCACTCTAACACCTCTGAGCCACCGCTCCACTTCCAGCTTCTTGCTGGTTAATTGGAGATAAGAGTCTCATGGACTTTTCCTGCCTGGGCTGGCTTCAAATCAGAATCTTCATATCTTAGCCCCCTGAGTAGCTGGTATTACAGGCATGAGCCTCCAGTACTTGACTCCTGTCTAGGGAATTTTAAAGTCAGATTACATGTTTGTCATTTCTCCAAATTCTAAGTGGATCACTATTCTGTCATGAAAATTACATTCACCCTGGCTAAACCTACATGCTCAACTCCTACTACAGAAAACAAAAAAGGAAATCTTCTGAGAAGATCATGACAGTCTCAGGATTAGAATAGCTTTTAGAACTTAAAAAAATTCAGTTGATGCACTAATGCGGACAGGTAGAAACACTAAGACTGGAATGGTTGGTAGGTTCCCACACATTACCCAAGGGAAAGAGAAAAGGTAATAGATTTGACCTCCAGCTAAGAGTAATAGGTGTACTTCAGAGTGAAAGCTCAGAGAAGAAAATTCCATTCCCTGTTAAACCATTCAGTCTTCCTAGTTAATGATTTTAATCTACCTTCTTTGCAATAAAACTATTAATTTGAATAAAATTGGAACATGTTTTACTGTCTCAGTATTTGTTAGATTATATCTGAATATCACTGCTTCTGTGTTGAGATCATGTTAATAATCTTGTTATTACAAAACTATTTGTATTAATTTAAAAATACATGTAAAGACATAAAACTACGAAATCAGAGTAAATATATGTTTTATATCACACACATTTTTATATGCTGCTTAGTAGCAAATGCATGATGGTTGGAAATGTCACTCAACTTTATCAGGTCAGAACTTATAAAATCAAGCACTATGCTTTTCGACACTTTAACATCAGTTTGGCTGGTTCTAACTGGGCAGGAGACTACTGCATGGATATGAATTTACCTTGATTAGATTTTGGTGAGTACATAAACATACCTATTAGGTGAGTGTAACATATAAACAAATCCAGTATCTTCCCTGAAAACAACAAAGTTATATGGTGTGATTGATGTAAAAAAGAAAGAATTCGCAATTTTGGATAACATAAGGTTTTATATTACTTTATAGCATTCAAGGATTTGAATGTTTATGACTCATATTGCATATAGGATTTCTAGGCAAGTAGTATTTTCTCATATTAGATATTGAATGAATAAACCTTACTTAATATAACTTTTTATTGTATGAAGTTCCACCATACTTCTCTTTCCCTTTCCAATTTCTCTTTCCCTTCTCCAATTTCATAACTTGAAATTCTTTTTTCTCCCAGCAATTTTTTAAATCCTCTCTTTTCTTGACTCCCACTTAACTCTAGACTGCAAAGAAATGTGCATAGGAGCTATAATAACAATTCTGTTTGTGCTCTTATTCTCTGATTCTTTTTTGTCTAATGAATTTCACCTTCACCACACATAGTTCTTGGCTTCTAACTCAGGTTATGAAAAGAGTTTTGGAATCAGGTCAGATCTAGTTCTGTATATAGTTATTCCTCTTCCTACCAGTGGGATCTTGGAGACATCATTTAACCCTTGTGGATTTTAGTTTCTTCAGCTCAAAATGAGAATTGAGTTAGTTTTCTCCCAAGGGTCCCATCTAGCAAAAAAGTTCCATGTATGTGAATACTACTACCCATACTTACATGTTTCTTCTCTCCCTTCAGACACTTCTGGTTCAAAATGATCTGAAAAGTTCTGTCTAAATAATATGTGAAGTGATTTGCCCAAAAGACTTCTTTCTATACATGGCCCATAGGATAGTTGCACTTTCATGATGGTGCAAAGCAGTACACATTTAGATGAACTGGATTTCAGATTTTGTTATTTTTCTGGGCTAGTAATATAAAGCAGGATATTCTCTTGTGATACTGGACTGTCAAAGTGAATCACAGTTCCCAGTCAGCCATGCAGCCTTGAATGTCAGCAACTATACTTAACAGTGTACCGTGTTGCTGAATTGTGACCTTGGTAAGCTAAGTGTATTCAGAAGCTTATGATGTTTCCGTCTTATGAGAGTTCATTGACACACACCCCATTTGAGAATTTAGGAGCATCTCTACTGTGTGAGCATATTTAACCCAGCAAAACTTAAAGGTCTTGCTGTCATAGAAGCTTGAAAATAGTTTCTGTTAGTACAGAAAATGTGGAGATTATCTACCACTTTAAATTATCTATTACTTTAGTGACCATCTCACATTAGTTCTTACTTCTAGATACTAGGCAAATTCTAACGAGGTTTCCAATTCTCAACTATAAAATATAGCCTCCCTTTCTAATTACTTTCATTTGTTGTTATGAGGATCAAATGAGATAATGTTCTTGAAAACACTTTATACATTTTATAGTATCCTGCAAATGTGAATTTATGTAAATTCTTTCTTATTTTTATTGCTACAAAAATTCCTTAGTTCTTTACTTCAGCCTTTGTTACCTTCTTTAATCTCTTAACCTACATTTCCCTATTTTTCTTCACAGGCAACCTTTTCTTATCTCAATTCTTATCTCAAAGTTGTGGGAAAATGTCTTTCATCACATTTCTAAGACAAGGTACTGCTCTAGTAACCCCCAACTTCTCATTCATAGTAAGACTCACACAAGACACAAATGACTAGACAATATCATATACAGTAAAACCTGGATTCAAAATATATTCATCCATTTTGTCCTGATAGAAGCCTCAAATCAATGTGAATAAGACTCATGTTTTACACTATATAACTCAGCATCCCCAAAGAAACAAAACAGAACAAATAGCTAAGGCCGCTCATATCCTTTAAGAATAAAAAATTAAAAAAATAATAAATAAAGGTTAAAAATAAAATGACTCTCTTTACTAGGATTATAACATTCCAAACTCTGAAATAACAAAGCTAGAATTTTACAGATGTCAGATTTTCAAACTAGTTTTGAGTAAATTAGATTTATTATATTTCATTTAGGTTCATTTTAAATTTACTTCATTATTTTTAAGACAAATTGATTTTATTTTTGTTTGTTTATTTTGGGCCTTCTTACTTGGCTCAGGCTGACCTCAAACTTACTGCATAGTTCAGGCTAGTCTTAAACACTTGATCCTTTTGCCTTTACCTCCCTAGTTTTGGGATTGCAAGTGTATACTACCACCATGCCCAGTTATTCTGTTACTTCTGATTATTTCATATCTTGATTAGTTAGCTTCTACATCAATCTATTTATATAATAATGAGTTACACATAGGTGAAGGAGAAAGCTTATACTCCGGAGGGGGGGAATTAATTGCAAAGATAATAATAGAATGCCCTCTCATTCTATTTGTAGTAACTGTTTAAAGTGTATTTTATACCAGCATCATAAGTGTCCTAATAGGAACAATTATTTGAAAACCAGGTTAGTTCTCTTCATCCAAGATAAATTATAACTAAGCTTTTTGAGAGCCAGAACACTTGACAAGTTAATATGCTGGGAACACAATATAAAAATGTAATTATACTTGTGATTTGGCATATTGCAAAATATGACCTTATTCACTTTTCTGGCTAAATATTTCTACTCAATTTCTCTAATAGGCTGTAGAAATAAAGACAGAATTTGAGATAACATTCGAGTTTGGTAAAGCAGAAATAAGGAAAGCAACAGCTTTTTCACAAATCTGAGAATACAAAATGGATTCAGCATCAAAGTTGTGCTTCTTTATTTTTGGACAAAGCAAACTACTCTCACTGTCAAAAGTCATTGTCAAAAGATATAGATAAGTGCTTTATCAACTATGCTGTGATCCTAGCTACACAGGAGGCTGCGATCTGAGACGGTGGTTTGAAGCCTGGGCAGGAATCTGTGAGACTCTTACCTCCAATTAATCACACACACACACACACACACACACACACACACCAGAAGTGAAGCTATGGCTCTACTGGCAGAGTTTTAGCCAGCCTTGATCAAGTAAAAGCTCAGGATCAACACCCAGGTCTTGAGTTCAAGCCCCAGGAATGGTACACACACACAAACACACACACACACACACACACACACACACACACACACACACAGATCTGATTATAGCTTTAATGTTTAGAGATTCCAAAGAGGAGCTTGAAGGACTTAAAAGAAATATGTGCTTATAACAGATCATAAAATATTCACTCACATTCATCAAACTCTTATGTTTTTCTAAGGCTGTGGGTCAATCCAAAGTAGAATTTCAGAAACCAGAATGAAGCTTTATGCTATGAAATCATCACAGGGACTACAAATATTCATTCATTTATTTATTTTTGTCAGCTGTAGGGTTTGAACTCATTACCAGGGCACTGTTCCTGAGCTCTTTTTGCTTAAGACTAGCACTCTACCACCTTGAGCCACCACTTCCGTTTTCTGATGGTTTATTGGAAATAAGAGTCTTGTGGATTTTCTTGCCCAGACTGTCCTTGAATCACAACTGTCAGATCTTAACCTCCCGAGTAACTAGGACTACAGGCATGAGCGACCAGCGCCTGACAAATATTTAGTTTTTAATTTTAACAAAAAGATCACATTGTTAAACAGTCACCAATACTAATAAGTCAAGTATGTAGAGGCCTTTTGGAGCAAAGGAGGGAGGTGCAAGGTATGGGTGCTCACCCCAGAGTTGGAACTTGTTTGTCTAACAGCAGCAGTGCCAGCAAACAGCTGCATGACAAAAGACAGGGTCAAGTGCTTTTCATTCTCCAAGCCTCAGTTACATAATACATATTAAGTGTAAGCTTCAAATTAGGCACACTCACATGTTTCTCTCTAGGTATTTTTTGACTTGATAATTTTGAGCGGAAGATAGGTTACTTTGGTTAAATAGGTTTTGTTTCCCATATCATGCTTGATTTGGATGCAACTTCAAAATTGAAGCTAAGTTATTCATTTTTAAGTCAGAAAAACACACCAGTTCCTTACCTCTACAATTCCTATTTTTCCATCATCTCTCTGCCCATAATGTTCCACAAAAGTTTTCATCTCAGGTGATAATTCCTAAAATTATATAAAAGCAGGTAAGAAGTTCGCAAATCAAAAACAACCATCTATACTTGGTGTTAATAAATTATTGGAAAGAAAAAAAACACAATTGAAGCCACATAGAATTATTCACATTGGTGAAACTTGTCAAGAAAATGACAGATATAAATACTACAGAGTATGTATTGGATTTTGTAATTATGATGATCGTTTTAGAGTCAATCACTGTGATTTATCATCTGTTATTACTTTTGAGAGTGAGCTGCTCTTCGCAAATGCAGTCAGAATTATTCAATTCACAATCGAGTGAATGTAAATGCAACAATGGCTACTAATATAATTTAAACACTTTTTTTTCACTAGAGATCGGTTTGTATTTCCATAAGTACTCATCCTATAGCACTTTCCTATTCTAACATAATGTTTTATCCATGTAAAGTGTTAATATGCATGTTTAGTTTGGACAAGTAAAAAACGTGAGGTTAAGTCACTTTATAAGCAAAGTGACTCCAGCACAAAACAGGTGATTTTTTTATTAAATAAATTATTTATTAGGGGAAATATGAGCTTAAAAAAGACGATCAAATTTTACTTTGGCCAAGAGACATATGATACTGATGACCTTCTTTTTGGAACTAATTATATGCTTATAATAGCTGTCTTTATCTGGAATGTAGGGAGTGATTTATTGAGCTGACTTATTATGATTTTGGTATAATAAAATATGCCTCAGAGTGACAGCAAATACTCCCTTCTCCTTTGGTCCCCCCTCTCAGAAGGTCCTATTACAATTATAATATTTTTACATATTGACAAATTAGAGAAATATGAACTATAAACTAGTAATCTGAACACAGAGCTAGTCATCAGGAAGTTCAATTTTTTTTACCCTCGAATCTCAAACAAAGCCCATTTAAAATACCCTTGTTACATTAACTGAAGTTCATTTAAAATAGACCAGCCTTTACTAATATCCCAGTCTATGTTCTTGGGATAGGAAATTAAAGTCTCAGTTTTCATTGTCCCTAACTGGATGGTGGTTATCTACCATGCAAGTTTGCTGTAGGTATTGGGAGGTTAATATAATTTAAGGACATATTGAGGCTAAATTTCACAACTAGTATTTACAAAATCCTTTTTAAATTAACGTAAATATCTTTAATGGCTCTAAGGTAACAGTAAGAAAACAATTTAATTATATTGTAATCTTTAAATGATTCTTTTATGTGGCTAAGAAGCAATTTGCATTATTTAATTTTGTTATAGGAATCATCATAGAAAATGAAAATATCACGCGTGGCAACTGTAGGATTATCAGTCCTCAAGCTTTTATACCTACTTTAAGCAAACACCAAAGCATTCATCTTAAAACTCAAATCTTAAAACTGTTTAATAGAAGTAACAAACTAACACACTTGATACTTAGTTTGTCACATTTCTGAGGAACAATTGTTTCAAACATGCTTTTAAACAGTGCAAAACATGCAATCAATTAAGAATTTATAAAAAAAATGGAAATTTAAAAACTAGACACTATGTTTAGAGCAAAAGAGTTGTAGTTTCAGAAATTTATTGAGTTGTCATTATGTTACTGATGGTATATTCACTTGGTGATGATTTTAATGTTCTCATTATTAATATGGTAAACAAACACATGTCTCCTTCAATGCACTGAAATCTGTAATAATACAACAAGAAACGATAAAACATCTGGCTTATATGGCTAACATTTGTGTTTTTTTTAAAGAGAACAAATACATAGATATAGGATTACTCTTGAGAGCATAGTGAAACATGTGTCTAGTAATATGAACATCTCAATCCAGAACTTAATTTAGATTTATATTATCCAGTGCCGATTTATGTAATCCAGAAAAATACCTCAGAATCATGATATTAAGCGACTTGATATAACATGGTACCTCTGCTCAACTTTAGTACTATTGGGTTATAATCTAATAACTAGTTCTTCATCTATTTCAAAACTGGATCCAATGCCATAGGGGAAAAATTAAAACCTAACCTCTTGGTTGTTTACAAAGAGATGAGGATGAGGAAAATGAAAATTTGAAAAATGTATGCAGTTCATAAACATTTCTAAAATGAAAACAAATCTCAATATTAAAGTTGCCGCAGGGGAAATTTAAATATAATCATTTAGCTTCTGGAAGTATCTTTCAAGGTTTTCATTCTGAATTTTATAGAAGGTACCACTTTCCCAAGCAGAATTCTTAAAATACACATTTTCAAATAGAGAAGAAAACTGCTTTTGGTTTTACTAGCCCAAAGTCCATAGAGCTATGATAGCCCTCCATGAATTCATTCATGTGATAATGCATAAAGTGGCAGGACAGTAGAGCCTATAGTTATTTTTATTTGATCCCATTTTATTATGCATCTAGATTTATATTACATTAAATCTGGGTAGAAAGAATCCCTAGTGTATGACCTGGCTTAAAATCAATTTGTTCAAATGATTTTAGCCACTGATAGTTCTGTAATGCATTGTAGTACATTTAGAACCCTCTGGGGTTCTTTTGAATATGTTATGTAAAGATGTAAACTGTGCAAGTTTCAATTTATATAGAACAAAATATAATTCTATTACTTCATTGTACATCTATTTTATTTTATCACTCAGTACTAGAGATAGTATTTGCTATATGTATATGTGTGTATATATATATTTAGCATCTGTAATATAAAAATTTCTTTCTAATTACAGTCCAAAAGGCTCATAGCTGTTAGCATCCAACTAGCCGAAATCCAGCATTGACTTCTGAAAGCCAGACTTACATAAGCCCCATTAGGTGGGTAAAATTGTTAACCTACTTTCTTCTATACAGCAATTTCAGCTGTTTAAAAGCTGGGTGTATTTATTTTACTTTTTACGCTGACATCATTCCTTGACATTTATTGTCAAAGAATAAAATTTATAATTAATATGAATTGTCATTCACTTAATTAACTAGTGTCTTAAGCCACAAGTGGAACTTATTTCCTGAAATCATTAGTTGCTTTCCAGCAGAGTTTTCCATCAGAATTTCTCTGTTTTTCTACAATTCATTTCTGTTTTTTTTTATATAAAATTCTTTTTCTTCTCTGACTTTCAGGTGTTTCCCCTTCAACAAAATGAGAACGTTTTCTTGAAAAATTCTTGCTCGTTATGATGTTGTACATTGACCACCTTTCCCAGGTGAGGACGGTCAAGACAGGATATTTTCTCATCCTCTCCCCACCCCTCAGCTACATCAACATCACAACCATCTCTGGCAAGAAATCCATAATCTGCAGATCCGTTTCCTGACCACCAAGGGGCAGAGATGTATTTCTACCCCTTACTTCTGTAAGCAGTAAATGGGAAGTTAAATCTTCCCTAAGCAACCCAGTGGTAGAGGTGGTGATGTGCTAAGCGTCTCATGTTATCCACACTTTCCTTTTAAGACCTATTAAAGCAAGGACAAGTGTAGAAAATGTGTTTATTTTAAAGTCTGTTTAGAAATTGTAAGGTTTTATTTTTTTTTCCCCTTTAGGAAATTTCATTCTCTTTTCTCTTACTCTGCCCCGTACAGGTCTCTCTCTCTCTCTCTCTCTCTCTCTCTCTCTCTCTCTCTCTCTCTCTCTCTCTCTCTCTCTCTCTCTCGTCTCCCACCAACCACTCCTTGTGCAATTTGGAAAGATATTCTCTCTCAATCTACAAACCTCTACACTCCCTGTGAAAGCCTTTGGCACCCCCACTTGCTCGGCTCATCTGGCTTTTTTTTTTTTTTTTATTTAAAAACCAGGAATGTGGGTGTTTTGGCCTTCATCACGTTCCCCTGTCACGAAGTTGAACCTACCAATCCAGCCTTCTTTCGCGCTTGCAGGAGCTCCTGGATCAAGTTCTGCAGCTCCTTGCCCTCCAGGTAACCACTTCCTGCAAAGACAAAGAAGCGCCCGGGTGTCAGATAACGCATTCCAAGTTTCTTCTCCGACCTCTTTCATATCTCAGCTACCTTTCTGCAACCTGGGAAGTTCTGCCTTGCCTGGACATCGATGAACCAGAAAAGGGTACAGCCGCCGCTCTCTTCCCGGGGTGTCAAACTTTAGCTGCTCCGAGGACCAAAGAGAGCAGATGGGGTGCAGCCACAGAAACTTTTGGGGACCAGTCTTTCTTCCTCCTCCCCCCTCCCTTTCCTGGCTTTCTCTCCCACCATTTATCGTTCCTAGAAAGACAAAGTTTAGGGTTTGGAGGTTGCATATAAGCAATATAAACTTTCAGGCTGATGGTTCTACAAGCAGTCGGGGATAAGAGGGAGAGGGAGGTACGCGGAGGGGATAAAAGACGGGAAGGGAAGAGAATGGGGTGAGGATGCTCAGCGGAAGATGAGGAATGGAAAGGGGACTGGAAACCATTGAAAAGAAGATAGTCACCATCAGCGTCGAAGTGGAGCCAGATCTCGAAAAACTGTGAGGCTGTGATGAGGGACGATTGCAGGTAGGATTCTGCCATGGTACCGCGGCGGTGTGTCTGTGCGTGCGAGTGTGTGAATGAGTGTGAGTGTGTCCGTGCGGGGACCTCGGGGTGGGTGTCAGGGCTGAGCAGGGGGAGCTGGGCGGGCGCTACCGGGCGCTGTCCGCGGTGCTGCTCGGCTCAAGCGATGCTCCCGCGTTGCTCCCGCGTTCTATCTGCACCCCGCACCCAGTTCTCAGCATTTATCCCGGCCCCAGGCCGGGCCACGCCTCCTCCTGCCTCCCGTTCCCCACTCCCCGCCTCTTGCTCTCGCCAACCTTCTTCCCCTCCCTCCCAGCCTTCTCCTCGCTCAGGAAAGCTGGCTGGAGCAGGAGTTTGGCAGTCTGGGAAGCAGCAGGTGGTGGGTGATCCTTTGCTCAGAGATTGCATTTGGAAAGCAGACTCATTTCTCCTCCCAGTCCCCTAGTCTTGGGAGCATCTCACCCCAGGACATTAATACAAAAAAGGACATCCTGAGAAGGGTTTGAATGACCGATGGAAGGGAAAAGCTGATCAAGAGTAAAACCACAGAAATGATGACGATGTTGGCATAGTCCAAGACAAGTGTTTGCTTGAGCAGAGTCAGGTGAAAGCTTGGTGAATGCTAACTCGATTAATCCATTCAATAAATTGCGGTCCGTAATCACGCCGATGTGTGCTTGTAAAGATCATGTGAGTGTTTCTTAGTGTGGTTTGCACAAACTAACTTTGCCATAGATTATGGTTCCCTCACTCGCCCCCCCCCCCCAAACCAAATTAAAGTAGAATTGTAATTCCAAAGCAACAGAAATAAATTATAAAACCTTAAGATGTTGCAGAAAGAAGCGATGCGAGAGACACTATTAGCTACAGCCTTGAAGTTGAGAAAGAGTAAACTAGAGCCAAGGAAACATAGGATCTGGTCCCTAGATAAAATTAATGAACCAACCACACAGTTTACCAGTCTTAACATACACTTTTTTTTCTATCCCTGGTAGATAATTTTTTCAGAAACTGGAAGTCTCTAGAATTAAAGAGAACTTACAAGTACAGGAAATCTTAAGTATCAATACAATAAAATTTGAACTTACACCTACTGCTGAACTGTTTAGTGTTTCATTTTCTGAGACTTTAAAATATGTGGTATAGGTATTCCAAGTTTCTGATTACAGTAGTGCAAAAATAAAAAGGAACAAGAGAACATTCAAACTTGCCCAGCATAAACTTGAAGTGAATTCATTAAGCACTGTACTTTTTTTTTTAACCTTGTGTAATTGAATATGTAAACCTTTAACTGTGTTTCCAAGATTGTACATATTTCCAGTAGTGGGCTTGTAAGTCTTTTTCTGATCATTATTTTCAGAGACAGCCCTGTTTTAATCATCTCAATACAGTCCTCATTGCCATAATACTTCGCAGTTAATAAATATTTTCACTTTAGTCATCATATTTGATTTTCGCATAGTGTCTCTGAGATTAATATTACTGAAGAGATAAGCTGGAATTCAAGAAGCTAATAACTTCATGTTCTCTGATTTAAAAGGATATTCCTTAAATGTCCATTTATTTACACTTTGATTCATCCAATGGACAATTATTGACAACTATTATACAAATGCTAGAAATATTGAAATAAAAGACAAAATCTTCACCTTCTTGAGGCTTGAACATATGGGAAATTGTAGTCACATAAACAAATGTGATTGTGCAAATGTGCTCAAACTCTTTTCGTGCATATACCTGTTATGCAGGTGGGAGAGTTGATGTTTAACTTAGTTAATTTATAGTTCTATATTGAAAACATTATTCTGTGGTAAGTTATAAGGGAAAAAAGGTCATGACAATGAAAGGCCAGCAGCTTGTTTAAGTCTATTCTAATTCTTGGAAAATAATTCATGCAAAGGGCTTGCTTGTTTACTATATTTGGGTACACAATCTTTAAATAAAAAATATAGCATATGAAGATACATTTTGAAGAAAGAGAGGGAGAGAGAGGGAGAAAGTGTGTGTGTATGTATTTGTGTGTGTGTGAGAGGGGGAAGGAAGGAGGGAGGGGGGGAGATTGAAAAGCAGAGCAGAGTATAGAATGATTTTTGAAGGTGTCCTTTGACCTTTGTAATCCTGACCAGAACTGACAATGTCTCAAAGTTTTAAGACCAAAGAAAAATTCCAAAACAAAACAAAAATAGGGTCCATGACTACCTGAATTGATGAAAAAAAAAAAAAAACCCTAACATTTCTACTTGTTGTTGTTGTTTTTCTGTTCTGGGGCCTTGAACTCTGGACCTAGGCACTGCCCATTAACTCCTTATACTCAAGGCTAGCACTCCACCACTTCAGCTGTAGCACTACTTTTGGCTTTTTTCTGTGATGAATCAAAGATAAGAGTCACACTGGACTTCCTGCATGGGTTGGCTTTGATCCTCGATCCTCACATCTCAGCCTCCTGAGTAGCTAGGATTACAGTTGTGAACCAGCAGCACCTGGCTTTTCTGTTGTTTTGTTTTTCTTTTACAAGTAATTTTCTTCCTGTAAACAACAACAATAAAAAAAACCTCACATGCTGTGGTAAAATTCATAAATATTTTCATTCACTCAGTACTTTTTATTTTAGAATTTCATCCTCAATTCCAAGTATTAACAGACAATGTTAAAAGGTTTATAAAGTGATATGAAAGGCATTTTTCAGAATTTCAGTTCCCCTCAGAATTTTCCTGCAGGTTAGGTTATGATTTGGGGTGGGAATGAAGGAGCATAAGTTCTGTGGAGTTCTGGGCAAATGGTACATTTTTTTTTCCTGTTTCCTTTGCCTGGAGTGATTTTGAGGAGATTGCAATTCTTCATATTGCCACTAGCCTGGATAATCAGTATGAAAAGCCCCATTAAATTTTTTTTTTAATTTTCTTTTTTGGTACTGGTGATCAAACCCAGGATGTTGCACTTACTAGGCAAGTGCTTTCCCACCGAGCTACATTGTAGCCCAAGCCCCAGGCTTTTGCAAACAAAAATATACATGTATGAATTTTGTAACTTTTTTTGTTTTACAGAAAAGGGACTATGTTCTCTATTTTAGATTCTAACTCATTATCAATTAAAGGTTACTCCCCGAGTATTAATATCAAAATCGATTTCATATTTTTATAGTTGAATATTTTATTAACTAACTCTAATGATAGTCATTCCAGCTTTCCTTGTGTTTTGTTGTAAATGCTGCCACTAGAAACTTCATACATGTGTTTAAACTCACATGTTTTCTGATAATGAAGTCACTATTGTTGGTTCAAAGCAATGTGTACTGCAAATTTTTTTTTTTTGAGAGTGGAAAATGACTTTATTTGTTCTGGGGAGGAGGCAGTGTCATCTCAGAACTTCTGGAATTGCTTCTTGGTGCCAGCGGCCTTGGTGACCTTGAGCACTTTGAATCGCGCGGTCTTGCTCAGGGGCCGGCACTCGCCCACGGTGACAATGTCGCCGATCTGGACGTCCCTGAAGCAGGGGGAAAGGTGCACAGACATGTTCTTGTGGCGCTTCTCGAAGCGATTGTATTTGCGGATGTAGTGGAGGTAGTCTCGGCGAATGACAATGGTCCTCTGCATCTTCATCTTGGTCACCACGCCAGACAGGATCCGCCCTCGGATGGAGACATTACCGGTGAAGGGGGATTTCTTGTCAATGTAGGTCCCCTCAATGGCCTGAAAAGAGGGAGTGGAGGGAGGGAAGAGGACACTAGTGTACTGCAAATTTTAATGACATAACTAGTTATTCCTCCAGTTTGTAGCAAATCATACCCAAATTCGCAAAGTATGACTATTATTTCCCTTTGAGGTTTGTTTTAATGTAACAAATACAGAACAAGTGGCTACCCTTCCTTTAATTCATATTTACTACTAATTATTAAAATTTATCTTTTATATTTTAAGATATAATGTCTATCCCTTAATTATAGCAGAAATGTAATTTATTAGTTCTTTCCTTTGAAACTCTTATTAGCCCCAGATTGTTCATTCAAATCAATACCTCTTTTCAGACTTATATTTCAGATAAATTTCAAGCTTTAAGTCTACTTTAGGGTCGGTACCAGTAAAGAAGTATATTTTAGATCCATAGATTTGAAGAAAGTTGAGAAATGATCCATTTTTTAATCCTCCAAATCCTTCAATTCATTAATCAAGATAGAAAAGACTTCCCAGTTGTTCATGAATTCTTTGGTTTCTAGGATTCTGGGAAAAGCACAAGTGCTTTTAGTAATGAGATTTTTCCATAAGATTGGAGTTTCTAAAAACAGCAGTGCAAACAAAGTACCTTTATGACTTGGTTTATAGGCCTCAGTACCCAACATTGAGGTGACTGGGTTCATGATCTCATTTTGTCATAAAAAGTAAAAAAAAAAAAAATCTCCAGGATAATTAAACTGTACTTCCCATAACATGTTACTGAACTACTACATTGCCATTCATATTCAGACTACAGCTGACAGTTCCAATTCACTATGTAAGTTGGAGGACACAGGATTTCTCAAGTTTAATGAGTGTTTACTTAGCTTTCATTCAGAAAAGAAAACTCTTTTAAAAGTTTTTACTATAGGTTCAGTTGCAGGGGGAATATAACCAAACACTCTTATCCACTCTAGTTTATCTCATATATGTCCTTGATTAAGATTAATTAAGCTTTCTGTGGGGGTGGGGGTTGCTCATGGCTTTACCCACTAGTATCATTTGAAACATCGCTCACCACCCACATCTTTCATTTTGATGTAATTTTCTCAAGGGTTGAAGGTCTGCATAGATTTAGTAAGAGAATTCTGTGTCCTGGTCTTGCCAGGTATCATGGGAAATACATTTCACTCTGAGTACCAACAGTTTTAAAAGAACTGATCAGATATAGCTAGAGAAGAGAAAGTAGGAAGTCCTGGAAACAGGAGTATATAGAAGTTTTGGAATGCAATTACAAAGTTTGGAGAAGCTACTTGTTTCATCAGGATTTATCTAAATACAGACATAACCTTCACCAGAAGGTACCAGAGGTATCTTCTACTGACGTTGAAACAGACTTCTCCAGGTCTTCTGCAAAGATTGGCATTTAAACAACAACAACAAAAACAACAATAAATAGTGGTAAGATTCCCTTACAAGGATGCTTATTTACTCACTATTGACCACAATTTCTTTTTCCAAAGGGCTTCACTGTTAAAGAAAAC